TACCCCTACCCCCACCCCCATTTCCCTTACTGTCATATGGTGTACAAGCATGTCTTTAAACTCTTTGTTCATAAATAAAATGGCATGCTTTAGTAGTTTTGAATTTTATTTTCTGCCTACTTTGAAAATTTTCTTAGTTTGTGTAGCTTCCCTTCCCTATTTTTTGTCTTATCCAAGTTAATAAGTGAGTGAGACTAAACAGGATTGTGGTGAATAACAAAAACCAATTCGAATATCTAGGATTAGACGTTTATGGGAATGATATGATAGATGAGTTTTTTTCCGATTTGCTTTTTGATTATTCTGATCAATCTATTTCAATTTGTTTAGTTGGATACAATCCATGTACTTTAAAATCAAACACTTATTAATTATTGTAGTAGTTTTTATAAATATATAGGTTTTTGGTGTTTGATGTTGTGATACAAAGATAAACCATAATGAATTATTTGATTTTTAGATACAAGAATCATATTTTTAATTAAATAGTTTTTGAGGGGCATTCATAATGATTCACTCTAATATATAGCTAAATCATTGTCTTAATTTAATCAAATATCGTCGTATAAAATGAGAGATGGGAGATTTATAAAAGTTATTGACATTTAGAGAGGAAATATCAAATAATTAACAATGTCAGATAAATTTTTTTAAAAAGTAATTAGCAATAACTCTTATCTCTAAGATATTTTATGAAGTGTCAACTAAGTACTAATAAATAAGTGAGTATTTAGGACTTTCATACAAGATTAACTTTCTTGACTTCAATAGTGTTAGCCTGTTAGGTACCTAATTATTGTTAATTACTTTTCTTTGGTCCTCCATAATAGTCATAGGGTCTACGCATACTCTATTTTCTTCAAACCTCACTTAATGAAATTTTATGGTATGTTATTTGATTAAATAAAAAGCGAATTTCGCTTGTGCAAGCTTTGCTCATGTTAACAATCTCAAATCTTGTTTAAAAATATGAGTCACGATAAATTAACAACTAACACAAAATTAATCAATTTATGATGAATCCTTACCAATTACCATACATATATCATAAGATTTGATGGATCGATATTACATATGGGGAAACTAACTTATTTGGTTTAAAATTAACTTATTATTGAAAATTAGATATGTCCTTTTCTCAGCGACTTTTGTTTATTTTTCGCCAGCTGTTTTTGCCCTTTTCTGCCAACTGCTTCTGTTGTTTTTCTGATTAAATACACGAGTAATTTCACGCTTGTAAGCTTGTTCATGTTAACCATCTCAAATCTTGTTGAAAGATGTGAGTTGCTGTAAATTAACAACTACCACAAAATTAATGGATGTACATATTGTGAATTCTAACGATACAAACATTATGAAGTTAAATGGAGCGATATTATATATGAGAAAATTCAATTTATTTAAAATTAAGAAAAAAAACTACACAGAATAAGGTAAAATGTTTATCTAAATTCACTCACATATAAGGTATTTATCCACAAAAGCTCAAAGAATTTACATAAAATATTCACTTATTATTTAGCATCTGATTTTACTTTGCAAGCGTCCGATTAACCTTGAATTAGGTATATCCTTTTTTAGTGATTTTTATCAATAGTTTATTTCTTTTTCCTCCTTTTTTCTATCCTCTATTTTTGTATTTTTCTTTCTTTTCTCCCCTTTTCCTTTTAAAGACAAAAATAAAGTACAAAGATACAAATATTAGCAAATTATTTTCATACTAATAAAAATATAAAAGTTAAATAATTAGATTACAACAAGAATTAATTAATAAAAATACTTAAATTACTAACTTATTTGTTAAAATTTGAATCAATACAAAATATTTTTTATAACTTTTTTCTTTTGTAAATGAAAACAAAATTTATATCTAAATTATCATTCTATTTTTCACAAGTAAAACTTGTTAAAAATGATATAAAAATTAAAATATTAATACTAAGTGTAATTTTTTTTTATATATAATTTTTATTTTATTTTTAAGGAATGAACATGTTCTCTATGAGAGGTGTTTAGTATATGATCAATATTAGATTGGTCTCAGAAGGGATTGAATATTTTCAAAGGAATGAATCAATTCTCTATGATATCAAGTCAAATATATAATATATATTATGTAGCTATTATAGAAGAATAAAAAGTAGTTTTTTTTAAAGAATAAACTGGTTATCTAACATATCTTGACAATACATGATATAATCCCATATGAATATCACAAAAGAATGAAGAGTGTTTTTTTTCTTCAAAAGAATATAATTAATATGCTATCTACGATGTAAATATATGATATATATCGTATTGGTATCATAGAGCTGGACCAAGCTCTTTTTCGAAGGAATGAATTATTCTCTATGATACCATGTATGTCACTCCAAATAATAAGACCTTCCCATAAATTAATATAGATAAATTATATAATACAAGGTTTATTGTGAATATTTTATTGACGATCAAAGAATATCGAGGAATACTAGTGTTGAAAATTGAGTCGTATCAACTTTTTTTGTAAGTGGAAGTTGATATGAGGTCTTGAGACATGTCAATAAAATTGTCTTTAACATGAGTATATATCTTTAACGCGAGTGGGAAACAACAACATATCTGGTGAAAAATCCCATAAAGTGAGATTTGGAGAGAATAAAGTGTACGCAGATCTTACCCATGGAGATGTTGTTTTCGGAAGACCCTTGATTTAAGTGAAGCAAATCAAAATAGATAATGAAAAAGAAAAATAATATTGAAGAAAACATGACAACTAATAGAAAAGTCATGCAAACCATACATGCAAAGAACAATGACGTCAGTAACGTAGTGTGATCACCTAACCATACTAAATAACACATAATAACAACTAAAAATAATATGTATACGATTAATTAGAAGATAAACACGATGCTCTAGACCATCACCGAGCGGCGTAATAGAAGTTGAGATTTGCCATGCATAGAAGGGTGACTAAAATCAAAAACTAGTAAAAGATGAGGAACCTAATTGCACATTTTAGACTAAAGAAAAAGACAGTTCATCCGAAAAAAGAAAAATCCCCAACTTTTTTCCTCCATTAAAGCAACTTCAGAAATGTAGAACAAACCTCACTGGTGAAGTGTGGGATCTTCAAAATAATCCAAGATTTTGAGTTGGGTGTTGTTGAATTTGCGAAATGGAAAGTGGGTTTACAGCAGAAGATCTTTCCACAATTGGAGGAATTGCTACTGTATCACTCTTACATTCTTTCATACCTACACATTGGTTGCCTTTCTCCATTGTTGGCCGTGCTCAGAAATGGACTCTCTCTCGTACTCTTCTTGTCAGTTAGTACCCTACCCACTCTCTTATTTTTTCTGTTTTTGCACTTTTCTATACGATTTTGTTGTAGATCTTGAAGATATGTATTTGGGTACTTGGAATTAGGTGATGAAATGAAAAGGAAATTGATAAAGTTTTGATTTTGATGGATTCTTAGATCTTGATGTTGGTATGGGTGTTCTATTGCTTGCATAGTTTATTTTTTTGTTTTTTCAAAGTTGCGAGTAGGGGGTGGGGAAGGGGATTACGAGGTGGGAAATCAAATGAGGTGGAAGTTCAGGTAGCCAACCAACTGAGCTACTAAGATTCGCTAGTTTTGTGGGGTTTGTTTATTTGATCATATAAGCACAAAATGTAGATACAAATGAGATAATTTTTACAGCATTTTTTACTTACTTTGTGATAGTTTGGAGCTTTTCTGCAATCAAGCTGGAGGAATTTGCATCTCGAACTTTTGTATTGATAAGTTGTGTTAGCTGCTTTGGTTACTGTCTTCTGATGATTACTTTGGTGATTTCTGGTTTGGGAATTTGCCTAAGCGTCATTGTGGCATTTTGAGACATAAATGGCAAACTACTCCTCTTGTGTCCTTCTTGTCAGTCAGTACCTACTGTCTTACTAGTTCTTTTACTTTCACATTTTCTGTGCGATTTTTCTTTAGATGTTGAAGACATGTGGTTCCAGGAATTAGGTGTTGAAATGGAGAAGAAATTGATAAAGTCTTGATTTTGATGGTGAATTTGATGCATTATTAAATCTTGAGGCTGCAATGGCGTAGTTGCTTGCTTAGTTTGTTTATAGTGGAATTTGTTTGTGGGACTGCATAAGCACAAAATGTAGATACTGCTGAGATCATTTTACAGCCTTTGCACTTACCTCCATGATAGCTAGGAATTTTTCTGCAATCAAGCTAGAGGGATATGCACCTCGACCTTTTATATGGATAAGTTGTGTTAGCTGCTTTGGTTATTGTCTTCTGATGATTGATTTGGTGATTTCGGGTCTGGGAATTTGCCTGAGCATCATTGTGGGATTTTGAAACATAAATGGAAATATAGA